TCAAAGTAAAAAAAAAGATGTCAGCTTGATTACCTCCAAGCGATAATGGACACAATCAGAGGTGAAGTTGCTGCCATGATCAGCATCCTCCACTCCCTCACAAAGAAAGCAATTCCAACCAGGAGCCAGTTTCCAAGAGTCCAATCCAGACTGATGATGACTCCGCTGAACGTCCTGCGTTCAATGCTGCACCATTCCACATCTGCACAAACATCAGCACAAAGAAAACATCAACGAAAACTGAATAAACAAAAAACACAAAAATAAAAGCCCTGACAGAAAGAATCTCCTTACTTAAAGCAATGGCGATAATACTTATTCCAGCCAGGGACATTCCAGTGAAAAACCTCATGATGACGAACATTATATATGATGTGGAGAAGGCACTTAGAATCGCAAATATCAAGGAGGACACGTAAGACACCAGCAGCAACGGGCGCCGTCCAAACCTGGACCAAGAAGACAGTGAGCTCCTCTATATCATCAGAAGACGTCTATCAACAAAATATCTCATGAATCTCATGAGAGCGTTTGAACAAGAATCAGTAGATGCACACCTGTAAGTAATTAGCTTTAATTAGAAAACCTAAAATGGCTGTACCGCAGTAAATCTTGTACATACAGACCTAAAATTTGATGTGGGCGTGGCTGATGGTTGTTCAGATTGTGTGAGAAATCACAAAATCATGAGACTGTTTTACTTTTCGGTTTTGACGAAAACAACTAAAACATTAAATAAAGATCTCAGTCTGAAACTCTGACATCTAAAGCAGCAGGTGATATGCGTTCCTTCAAGAAATGCTTTAAAAGGCTCTCCAACTACTCCCACATATTGGCCTTATGAGTTTTTATTTCTCTATTCATTTAAACATTGTTCTTTGTGATGTGAAAACTCCTTATTACTTAAGAAACTATATTTGTCTTGTACATTTTTCACCTAAGGTCAATATTTTACTGGAGCAATGCATTCTGGGGTGTTAACATACTTTGTATATCAATTATAGTGGAGAAAAAAAACACAAGAAGTCAAGGCTCAAAAATAATAATGTGTCAGTAAAGTTATATTTTGTAACAGTCCTTTTGCACATTATATAGGTCGAGACGATCAAATGTGATGATCTTGTGATGTTAAATTTATTAGCTCTAGAGCTAACAGTAACTCAGGAGCTAACGCTAATATTCAAAGCTTTATATATTCAAGGCTTTGTAGAGAGTGGTAAAGGCTGCACAGAAGTCTGTTGGAATCAGTCTCCCCACCATCACAGACATTTACACCTCCAGATGCAGGAAGAGATCCACCTGCATCATGGACCCCACTCAACCAGCACACAAACTTTATGCCCCGCTCCCCTCAGGAAGGAGGTTGAGGAGCATTAAGTGTAGAACCACTAGACTGAGGAACAGCTTCTACCCTGAGGCTGTTAGACTCATGAATCTCTAACCAGAATAATCACTGTGAAAAAATCACATCATGTTGCTGCTGATCTGTTTCATGTTGCTGCTGATCTGTTTCATGTTGCTGCTGATCTGTTTCATGTTGCTGTGTTCATTCATACTCATCTGCTCACACAGACTCATGTTTGTGCTACTGTTTGGTGAATTGTTTTATTGTTTTTATGCTATTATAGTGCTTAGTGTATATTTAGTTGATGTTTTTCTTAGTTCATATCTTAGATCTTATTGCTGTTTTTCTTTTACATTTTATTGTTGGATGTAACTGAGACCCTGTGTACATAATCTCGTTCCACCACATGCACCACATGTGGTGTATATAACAACTCTCTGACTCTGACTCTAATAGCTCCAGACCTAATTTTATATATAGGCCATATATTAGCTCCAGAGTTAAAGTCATTAGCCCGGAAGCTAACATCATATACACTAGCCCTGCAGTTAACGCTAATAGCTCCAGAGCTAATGTCATATTAGCTCTGGAGCTAATGCCATGTAGGCATATTAATTAGCTCCAGAGCTAACCAGGTAATTATTTTTAAAATTATCAAAAGTAAATGGGCTACAATATTTTTATGTTCTCGTTTTATAGCTGAAGTCATTGTTTATCAAATAAGGTCTACTGGTCCAACTAGTTAGAGATCCCTTTAATGCCTTTAATTCATAAACTGTAAATGTTAAAAAATGACAATATTTTGCAATTTTAACATTATTGCTTTGCCATCTTTTGAAATGGGAACAATAACATTAGTAGCAATAATAATAATAATGTTACATCATTTTAAGTTTGTGAACCTTTGCAGACATTAATTTTTCTTGTTTCATTTATTTTTTGGTGAAGATTGCGAAAGGCTTTGGGATCGATGTAAACATGGCACCACGTATAAAGATTTAATTTGAAGACCTGTCACTGAGAAACCCAAAGAGCGGCGCTCCAACCATGACACCAACAAAGAATATTGTAGCTGTTGCCTTGTTCATCCCTTTTCTGCTGCACACCAGATCCCACTGGAAGACCAGGATGAGAGGAAACAATCTTGCGGTGACAATCTTCTAACACGTTGTTAATAATTATCTTATTTGTTGGCAGAAATGGAATAGTGTTGTGCAGGGAAGTGTGAGGATGAACTCGTGTGTTACCTCAGTCACCAAGGTGGATTTAAAGGTGCTGTTGTCATAAATCCATCCTTTCTGACAGGGAACGGACCAGGCCTCCTCGCTGCTGTTTGAGCCCGTCCAGTTCTGGTACCGAGGCTTTGTGAACATCCGGCACAAACTCAGAGTCCCGTCTTGCTTCGTAGGAATGCCAGCCGCCAGTTTCTGATAGAAACTTAGATTTCCAAACACTCCTCCGTCCTGCAGGGCGCTGATGTCGCAGTGGTGAGCGGGAACGGCCGCCATGAAGTTGTTGAGCAGGAAATGACACGGGAGAGTCATCCGAGAGAACATCTGGATCAGGAAGAGTCGGATCTGGAATTTCCCAAACCCGTTAACTTCAGAGAGAATGTTGTCAAACTTCATTTTGCTGCGTGTCGGGAGGCGAACGGAGGCGAAGAGCAGCGAACGTGAGGCCGAGTCAGAGCCGACGAGTCAAGACGACACATTTACAGACTAAACGTTAACCATTAACTTATTCACACATGGGCCTTTCAATGTTTAAGTCCACTTTCACAACTTCAGACAGTTATCATCTGCCACTGAAGGCAAAATAATGACAGCATCTATGTCTGTCTGTTAGCAAAATATCCCATGGACCATTGGACAGATTTCAATGAAACTCAGAGAATATTCACTTGATGAACTTTTAAAGATGGTCACCACAGGTAACTGAAATTTATGTCTCTATTAGTTTTACAGACAGTGAGCTGACATTTGGTGTGGTAGTAGCTGAGAGTCATCAGCACGTACTCTGAGAGCTAACACATCTTGTGAAATCTAACATAATATAACTATAATTCCACTCCTTTTCACCAAAAGACGATCGTTGTTGAAAATCTTTGGCATCGGAGTCAGAAGACGAGATGCATTCCTCCTTTAATTTCGATCATATTCACCCAAAACATTTTATTGATAGTAAACGAGTATTTTACAGGAACTTGTTGACCAACACAGCAGAAACGTATCACAAACCCCAGTACATCAGAGAAAATCTGTTAAGGTCCAAGGTTCTTTATTGTCATTAACATCACATGTGGTACATGAGGTGGAACAAAATTGTGTACACAGGGTCCCAGTTACCAAAAATATAATGTATATAAAGAAACAGTGATGAAGTCCTCATTAACACGACGGGGGTCTCATCTGATGGGTTTCCTTGCCTTCATTTAGATCAATCTTTTGTTTTAACGATCATTTTGAAGAGGCTAACTCCTCGTGTGAGGAACTGCTTTATTTGACTGGACGGGCTCGAACCAGACACATCATGGTGCCAGTTGATCCTTGGACCCTGACTGATGATTGAAAAGAAGTGAAGACATGTGGGACAGTCTGCAGGTTAACCTGGTCCATCAGAGATTTCAGTCAGACATCTGTAGAACATGACCGTTGGACAAAGAAAGGTTAATAAAGAATCATCAGGAGCAACCTCCCAGAGTCTGATTGTGATCTAAATGAAATTAGAAGTACATGAAAGGTGCAGTAACCATGAGATCTAACAGAAGGAGGTGAAGGATGACTTGCAGGTGTTCATTATTCCTCAGAGGTAATGTTTCATTTGTTCATCTGTCAGTTCATTTTGTTTTTAATTCTTTCTTTGTGTTCCTCGTTAGGTTCTCTGCTGTCTTTATTTTGAGTTTGTTTGACCTTCTCTCTGTCCATCTAGCCTTTGGAGCACCTTTACATTGACTTTTTAATGAAAGGGTTATTTTACTTACACATGCAGGCCACTGTCTGTCTGCTTGTCTGTCTGTCTGCAACTACCCTTAATAAATGACTGAAAGTGTTGATTAGAGCTCAAGTCTTTTGAACTGGCTTCTACAGACAGGTTAGGAATAATTAACATCTTACCTGTTGCAGATAGTGTTATGCTTCCTGCCCGTCCCTGTTTATTTCTCTCTTTGCCCCTCCTCCCACCCGGAGGTGGAGCTTCGGTTGAGTTAAATGCCATCGCCCAGTCGAACCGTCACCTCGTTCTTCTGCCTCGCTCGCCTGATGGCTGGATCTAAGCTGAGCTCATGGTCCGCCAAGAAACGTCTTCTTCCCATCTGATCGCCCTCCAATGCATAAAACAAACAATCAGCACACCGATGTCCCCCATTACGGAGGTTATTGAATAGTGAGTGTTTGTAGTTCTGGGCATGAGTGTTTATCTGGACTGGAATCGAACACAAAATGAAATAAACTTTAATGCTTTTGTTGAAAAATATTCCAGTGGGTAGGAGTTACACTGAGGAGAAGAACAGAGGGAGGTTTTATTTTCTTATCCGAGGAAGAGTGATGGATCCTGGAGAGATGTGGGAGACCACCAGGTGCAGTAGAGGGGGGGGGGGGGGGGGGTCCAGTGGTGGCCTTGACCCCATAAATTAATCTTTGGCCACCCCAGTTATTTGAGGAAATACTATTAACAACTTACTAGAAGGCGCAGTTTCTTTACAATGAAAGGGGTGGTCGGTTTACATACATATAAAGGCGGTGGCCATCTTGGATTTTGACATTGCAACCCAATTTTTGGTAGATACATAATTTTCAAAGGAACCCTTCTTACACATACATACAGCCACACACCAAATTGGAAGTAAGTGTCTCACTTATTTTTACAGCTTTCCAGATCACAACCTGCACAGACAGATGGACGGAGAGTATTTCCAGTTCCCTCTTCACCCTGCGATGATGGACTAAAAGAGATATTTTGGATCTGACATGATCTGTTGTTCATTGTGTTGGACCCACGTGCAGACAGACACAAGAGACTCTGGGGTAAACATAAAGCAAAACAAAAGGCTGACGGGGCAGCAAAACTTACATGAATGATGAGGAGTAGGAAATGATGGAGGAACAGATATGACAGGCTTTCAAGCACAATCCACGGACAAAGGAAAAACACAGACACGCTGAATATATGAGGAGACTAATGACAGGAATGGTAAACACCTGGGGTGATTAGAATTGGAGACAGGTGAGACAGGAGCTGAACAACAAGGAAGAAAAACAGGAAGCACAAGAAATGACAGGACAAAAACAGAAATTCCCACAGGATCCTGCCCAGCTCATGTTTCCTCTCCTCAGACTCCTGGATTTCCTCTCACTCACTTCTGACACCTGCAATAACACCAAGAACAAGCGAGAACATCAAATCATTCACAAATAATTGTGAAAATATTGCCATCTTCACAATCAAGGACCAAGTATTTTCTCCTCCCAGTGGGTCTGCTCAACATCCCTCATGTCACTGATTGCACATTTCTGAAACATCTTAAACCTTTATTATCTGTCTCGTTTCCTGTCTCAGTGCTTATTCCGTTTTCTGTCATGACAGATAATTCACTTCACTCAGATTAGCCATTATCCTTTCAATCCCATCCAAAATAAACTCTCCAAATTCATATTGTTCAAAAGGTTGTTTGTGTTATGTAAGATGAATATATGAATAGAGAAACTGCATTTCCTGCAAAAATGCAGTGTGAATGGGGGAAATAGGGGGAGTGGTGGCACAGAGGTTAGAGAAGATGGGCCTGTGATCAGAAAGTCGCAGGTTCAACTCCCGATACGGTCAACATGTGGGTGGAAAAGATGAAACACCCACAACTGCCTCCACCCTCATTCGCCTCCGCCCCTGAGCAAGGCCCTTAACCCCCACCATTTACTCCCTAAACAGGTCTCACTTGAAAATGAGTTCTCATGACTCAGTGAGACTACCTGTAAAAATAAAGAGTAAATGAAAAAAAAAAAAGCTTATTGCTGAAGAACTTTCTGAAAAACAGCTGAAATGAGCTAAAAACATGCTGAAATGTAGCTGAAATGACTGAACAAGCCTTAATTAGCAGGAGAAAGAACACATTTTTGCTGAATTAGGATGAAAAAAGTTGAAACGAGTGCAAAAAATCTGGAATTAGCTGAAAAAGTTAAAATTAGCATAAAACAACTAAATAGTAGCTGAAATAGTAGAAAAAGCTGAAACTTACAGAAAAGAGATGAAAAGAGCACAACAAGCAGAAATTAGCAGAAAGCAGTTAGAAGAAGCACAGAAATGTTGTAGTTAGCAGAAAGATTCTGAAAAGAGCAAAAAATTGCTGAAAGCTGAAATTAGCTAAAGGTAGTTGAAATTTTTTTTTTAAGTTGCCGAAGGAGGCTGAAAGAAGCTGAACAAAATGTGAAAGGAGCAGTAAAATGTTGTAAAAAGATCTAAAGATTTAAAGGATGTAAAATGAGCTCAAATCATTTTCTAGGAGAAAAAAATGGCAGAAAAGGCTTAATATTTGAAAAAGCTAAAGTTGCACCAATACTAAAAGTCACAGCAGAGTGTCCTGTCCTGAAAGAGCTGAACATTTTGATATGATTTGTTGAAATAGCTTGAAAACTGTGGGATGAGAATCGAGTCAAAAATCTTATGGAAGAAAAATGGATCACAACAGAGTGAATGCTTCATAAACATTCACACTATTAAGAGACAAAAAGGATAAAACACATGTAATACTCTGATTCTTGTTGAGGGGCTTTGACATTGTGTATCAACCAAACAACAAATAATCATATTTAGTTAAAAAAAAAAAAAAAAAACTTCTGGGGTTGATCATGATGCCCTGAATCATGAATTCATCCAAAAAGTTTTCAATCAACAAACAAATCAAGACTTAATGTTTTTTTTAATGATTTGTTCTTTAGCAAATCCATCCCAGCCAATTATTTTTTCAACCAGTCAAGATGAACAGAATAAATAATTTAAGCTGTGAATGAGCCCCCGTTCCTACAGGTTTTAATCCTTTTCTTCAAGCCTCGGATTCAGTTCCATAAATGGAGATCTTTTCAGAAAAGAGCAGCAGCATTACATCATCTGTAAACCGAGAGAGCACTGACCAGAAACTGGAGTTCATCGAGTCGTTTAGACCGAGTTAGAAAAAAGTAGAATGAATGAAAATCTGTGATTAAACACAGAAATATCCTGTAAACAGATTGATATTTGGATTTAAACAGATTATTTTCAGAAATGAAGAGCTGATGTGTGGGCCTGCTGCAGCTGCAGGAGAACAGCTGATCTGGGTCTGGGAGGGGGTGATGGCAGGAACACCTCCTCTTGCTGCTGACGTTCTGCAGCGTGTATGAACACCTGTCCTGCACAGCCAGAGCTGAAACCTCCTCATCCCTCACTGCTCAGGATGTGAAGCCGGACCTTTGGACCAGGGACAAGAACCGTAAGTGTTTTGAACTCCGTGGTCCGAAGCTCTAATAGAGTTTTATCTGCGCGATCATCAGGCGTCACCAGCTGAATATGATCTGATGTGTTTATTAGCTCATCATCATTGACAGTTTGAATGAACTTTGCTGGAACTTGAAGTTTAATCAGATTTCTAAATAAATAATGCTGC